AGAAAACTCTATCTCTTTCTTTCCAGGTCTCTTCATTAAGACCCAGGGTTTGTGGGTGTCTGACAATCTGCAGGATCCTTTGCTGGCCCCCTGCTCTTTTATGTTTGTTATTGTATCAGGAACACTGATATTCCATCCCAGGCCACTTCAGCAGCACAACATTTCAATTCTTTTATTTAAGAAATGGTTAGAAATATTTCCCAATTCAGTGTAACACATCCCAAAGTACATTTCCAGAGTGTGTAAGTTCACTGCCAAATGGCCAGCCCTGCTGCAAACACAGGTAGGAGCAGCTAGAACAACAGAAGAGGTTACATTTGTTTGGCAGCTTCCTCCAGGCTATTAAGAATGGAGACTGCGAGACGCTAAAATGCAAAGCGGTTTTGCTTTGCAGTAAACTAAGCAGAATAGCAAAGAGCACAGCCCAGGAGCTGGAACAAAGGACAAGGCAGGAGAGAGATGCGCCACCAGAGGGTTCAAGCTGCTCAACAGGGTCTCAGACCAAAGTGCTTTGTAGTGCCCATGGGTGCAAGTTGACGGCGGCCCTTCTGGATGGATGCCAGAGCCCAGACCAGCAAGTCCCAAACAGCTCCTCGACCCACTTCTCCAACCCATATTTAATTGTTTAAATAAACATGGTGAAAAATAAATGAGGTTGTACTTACACAGTCAAAGGCCTCACAGCCTTACCTCTCCAGAGGACTTTCGGCTACTTGGCTCTCTACTTTCCTGCTACCTCCACTTGCCACAAGTTGTTGTATGAAATTCAGGCTCAGACCCTCTTAGGCTATAATCCACAATCCGTTTTTCATTTAACTTCTAAATGTTAAGATAAATAGAGATCTCATCAGTAAACATTGTGACAGTCATCTTTTTAACTGTCATTTGTATAAACTTAGGCGCATCCCTTTCTAAATCACGCTGAGATGGATCGGTTGTTCAAATATAAACATATTTAGCAGAATTCTGTCATTTCCGCACATGTATATTCATTTGTGAATGACTCACTTCATACATCTTTATAAACCTGAGAAGCTCCTTTCGAGTTATCACAGATTCAGGCGGTGACGCCAGCAGAGTGGAAAGCTGACAATGTATGCAGGGCCAGCGCGGAGAAAAAGTAGCCAGAAGTCGTGGCTCCGGGATCATTTTAATCTGTGTTTGGGTACAGGCAATGTCACAGAGGTTCGCCAGAAATGAAATTATCCTTTCTCGTAGCTTGTTTTGTACCACTTAATCCTCTAACTCTTTATTCAACATTATCTTTCCCATCTGCTCTAGTGAATGTTCGACACCTTGTGGACCAACTCCAGGCTGATTGGTTTTTATGGGCAACATGATCTCAGTTTTATGCACATACTTAGGATTATCTCAAGGACAAAGAGGATGAACAATCCATTAACTATAATAAAGCAACTACACATCTCAAGGTAGCTACAGCATATATTTGATTTCAAGAGAAAAGGCTGAATTAAAATATGTCTGTCCAAAAATGTCTAACCTCCAACACATAGAAACAGCATTTTCTGTTCTCCATGCTCTGCTGAGCGGCACTACTAGAAATCACATTTCAGTCCCACTCAATCAGACTTTCCAGCCCTTAAATCTTATTTTAAGATCTGACACTACAGCAAGAAAAAGATCCTCTTGAAAGCCCTCTTCGTGATGATCTGTGGGCAAAGAGTGCAGAATATATACACACACACACACACACACACACAAGTACATAAGCACTTTTTAAAGGAAAAGGCATTGTTATTGTTTAATGTTGAAAACTTATGTCTTTTGTTACTTCAGAATTGCATGTATCCTATTGCTTAAATTTATAAAACATCAATCTTGAAAATTCGGTCAAATACACAGAGTTAGCTAAGAAAGCCAAGTTATATTGCCAGTCAGTGCTAATTATGGACATTAGAAAACCATCACTATTATTTATTTCAATATTTAACTCAATGTAAAAAAAATCTACTAGAACCTCATTTGCCCACCTCTTAATTTAGATACGAACATTATTGTAAAAGTCTCTGTACTCCTGTTTTATTAATAAGCTCGGTTTGTTTTCTTGGCTGACCCTCCAAACAAAAGTACTTGTTTATTCTGTTGCTCTAAAGCTTTATGATCCTGGAATCATAACACTTACAGGGACATCTGATCACACTGTACATACTAATGACAAGACATATCTGGCCACATGTCTTCACAGCTTACTGATTTCCTTGATGAGAGCTGTGAGGCTGCCTCCTTGCAACTTGTATCTCGAGGTAATTAAAAAGCTGGCTTTTATAATAGTCTGAACTTCGCTCTGCAGTGAATTGGAAATACCGCATGCTGCAGAAACAATGTACCAGTCACCTGCTTGGTTTGAGCAAGGAAAGGTTTTGAGCAAGGAAAGGTGTGAAAACAGGTACAGGAGTTAATCGTGTACCTAGAGTGAAGGCTTTCAAGCTCTTGCGTATGTTCCTTTATTTATTACTTCGCTTAAGGAAAAAATGGCAAAATGCAGAGCTGAGTGTCATCTTCAAGTTGCGGTTCAGGCCCTTTCTTCACAGGTCAACATCAAGGTAAAGCCAAGGTGAAGAACTGGACTGAGATGCTTAAACTGGCACCAGCTGTCCAGAGAGAACACCTCTGGGAACAGAAGAGGAGGGTGGCAGTGAGAGGGAGAATTTCTTTTCATTGGGTTCTCTTTTGTTCCATCTGAACATGTTACCTGATGCTCATACTACTTTAAACAAACAAATTTAGCAGTAACTAAATGGTATTTGCCCCTCCACACTTGTGACAACCCACACTGATTCCAAAAGTCAGCACTAGTGACAGCACTTATTTACCTCCTGATCCTTTGCGAGGGTCCACTTCTCCCCCTGACCTCTGGGCCTCAGGCAGGGTCCTTAGATTTTCACCCTGTCAAAGTAAGGGTCCAAGAGACTACTTGAATCATTGAACATAAATGAATGGTAACAGTTTTGCTTTCATACACATTCATAAAAAAAGACATGTCAGACCGAAAGAAACCATTCAAATCTTCATTGTGAGAACATTAGAAACATATTCCCCTAGATTAAACAATTGGTTGGGAAAGATATCTGTGTATGTTCTCGTTTGAGGTGTCATGAGGGGGGGGGAGTGATATCTAAGGAGGGAAGGGAAGGAGGGCTGAGATCATGAGCAGACAGGTTAGCAAGTGCTCCCAGCCCCTCCTGACGCTGCTGTTGTCCGCTGGAGCCCTGAGCACAAGGATATGCATAAAAAACTACCACTGAATGTCTTTGAAGTGGTACAGCAATGTCACCTATCAGGACACTAGGGGGGTTCAAATGTATTCTGTAGGCTTCTCTGAACACTCTCCACAAGATCACCCTAACCTTCCTTAGTTGCCTGATTTTACTACTTTCTGCCTTCTTGGTGTCCTATTTTGAAACTTCAAACCCAAAGTTTCTCTTTCTATTCACACATACATGCATTAGAACACAGTAAGACAAAAGATTGCCTACTTGAAAATTAAATTTTTTCACCTTTAGGTGGTTAGTAAGGACAAACTCATTAATCTCCTATTTGCTGTTTTCTGCAGCACAATTATATGGCACCAACCAGTGAAACTGCTGGGTAAAGGCTGTGTTATGACTCTGACTGCCTTTCATGCCCATGTCATTCTGCAGAGAAATTGGCATGAGAACACTAGCTCCTGGTACTGAACTATACAAGTAAGATCTACTTTAAGATATCTGCTTTTGTGTCTGACTGGGAAATTATTACATTAAGATTAAGCACAATTGACTTTTTTTCCCAAAATAGAAACACTTTTATTGTTTTTGCTGGTTTAAAAGTAATAAATACTCACTTTACAAAAGTCTAACACTAGAGAACAGTGCAAAGTTGTAACTGAAAGGCCTCTTTATAATCTTCCGTGACTGGGATATCCACTGTTACTGGCTTGGTATATATCTTTAGAGATATCTGTTATGCACAAACATTAATGAAAGTATACTGTTGCAAGTGACAAAATCTTAATTCATGCTGGCTTGAGCACAAAAGGTCTTACATAGCTAAAAATTCCACCAGTTTCAGGCATAGCTTGATCCAGGGACTCATGATATTACCAGGATTTGGTTTCTATGTATCTCTCACCTTTGCCATTCCCTGTGTTGGTATTATTCTTGGGCTCCATATGTGTTCCACAGTAGGTCCCTGATCTCCTGTCCTCAGGTTAAATTCTAGCAACAAAAGGCAGAGAATGTCTTCCTGCTATTTCTTACATGAGTTTTATGATTTGTATGGATCACCATGGCTGAAATGTTCACCTCCAAACCAATCAGTAGAACCAGGAAAATGAAATATTCTGATTGACCCAGCTTGAATCTCATATACACCCCTGGAGCCAGGTCGGAAATCAACTCCATCTTCAACACATGGACTGAGGAGAGATGAGTCCAGAAAATCAGGGACTGTTAACAGAAGAGCAATTAATGCTCATAAATAGAGGCAGCAGATGCTCCCAATACCTTTCCTTCTTTTATCTTTGGCATCAGGGCCAGTTACATAATGTGTGGGGCTCAATTAAAAATGAAAATATAGGGCTCCTTGTTCAAAAGGCAGTAAAAAAGTGGCATTAATGAAGCTGATTTATAAAGCCCTTTCTGTTCTTCTGCAGTCTCTCCCACAACTTGTCATGTTGTTTGTTTTTTGCTATATGTTGTTCTAAGTAAAGAAAAATTAAATGTATTAACATGAATGTTACCATTCTTCTTTATAATTTTTGACACCCATTTTAAATACAAATATAATGCTTTTAACTCATATATGGATCACCAAAATTACACAATTTATATTTTGTAGCTCATACCTGCATATGTATTTCATTCTTAGTAGAACTGGGAAAACTAACTCAACTGTTTTAATTCCACCTCTTGACCCTGAGTAGGGATGTACCTTCTACAACGTTGTCTACCTTCAGCTTACTGATGAGTTAGCAAAGACTTAAAGGAAAAGTAATTAGGCGTCAATCTCCTTTTATTTTACCTCTATGTCTTCACTTCCAGCATAAATGGTTGGCTATGAAAGGATATGATAGGGTTTCTCAATCGTTCATGTTTCTTAAAATGTCATTGCCTTCCTCCTACATTCAAAGCAAGTTCTGGTTTGGATAAAAAGCATGGCCTCTTGGAGCTGTCAGGGACCTGCTTGCTCAGCTATAGATAGAACTTTCTATATACTCGCTTTGAGTCTCACTAACTCCACATGCCATGGGTTACCTGGAATTCCATGCTCAGGAGCATAGAGAATCTTATAGGCAAATGAGGTGACAAGGAATACAAGACATGTATTGCATGTATGTCTCCTCATGCACACGCTTCACTGTCTCATCAAGTTTCACACACAAAACACAAATTCAAAAATAGAACCCTTAAGAATTCCAAGAGAGTATTAAACCAAGCTTAGAGCTCTCCTGAGTGTAAGCTTTTGCCACTGTTCAGGTCACAGGCCCATGAAGTTGGCCTTGGCTCTCAATAAACAGAATGAGACTATTTAAATAACCAAAAGTGATTGAAAATTCTGTGGTAAGACTGAGATGTGGTTAAGGAAGTCCACTTCTGATAAAGGAAAGCAGGTTTTACTGACAGCATTGTAACAGCTATTGGGGAAAAATAGTAATCATTTCAAATATCTTCCCTGCTATTTATGACTACTCAATCAAACCTATTACACATGTAAAATCCATTCATTTTTAATGATTACATAGTATCTCATTGTATGATTGCACTATAATTTATTTTAACAGTCTCATATTAACATTTACTTCTTTCCAATTTTTCAATAAGACTTTTATGAATATTCTTGAAAAACTTATCTGATTATTTCGGTAAGATAAATTTCTAGCAGTACAACTGCTGAGTCAAACAAGATGCATGCCTTAAATTTTTTAACACACATCACCAAACTGCCTGTCAAAATGGCATTCCAGTTTACGTGGTAGCAGCCCTTGAGAAAGCCTGTTTCCTCATAGCCAACACTAATATTTCCATTCTTTTTCGTCCTTGCTAATCTGGATGATAAAAAATGGCATTGTATATTTCTTGAATCCTGTCTGAGGATGAGCATCCTTTTTATACATATTGCTGTTCCATTTTTAACATTTCTGAACATTCAAATTCTACTTGACACTCTATGAGAGATGAAGGAAAAGAAATGAATTGAAACAATATGCTATCATTTCCTACCAAAGTGAGGAATAAAAATAACAGCAACCATTTGTTAAGTGCTTACTACATATCAGTCATTTCATATACCTCAACTCTTTAAATCTTCACAATCTCATTGACTCTTAAAAATCAGAAGGACTACTATTATTCCCATTTTACAGAGGAGAAAACAGAGGTTTGAAAAGTTAAGTGGCAAAACAAGGACCTTATTGGAACGTGGGCCTATCTGAAACCAAAGTCCATACTCGTAAGAACGTGCTATAAATTATATATTCCTAAACTCAATGTGATAGCTCTAGTTTTCATATTAATATGGCAAACTGTCTTGCATCTAGTTGAATTAAATCATAAAATAATCCTTAACTGCAGAATTTCATTGTTTAATACCTAGCAACCCCTGAGGATGTTAACCAAAAGGAAGAATGTTACCTAAACTCTATCTGTCTGGCCAGGAGCTGAGAGGTAACTAGGAAAGCTGAGTGTGTATCACTCATCTTGAAGCCTCGTAAAAGAAGGGAAATTGTATTTGCAAGTCCAATTTCTGAATGTTCGAGGAAGCTGCGCAGGGACACTGCAGTGAGAAGTTCAAATGCGGGCCCTGAGAGGGGATGTGGATAATATAGTGTGTGAGGCTCTCCACTGCAGGGAATGTAAGTGCTTTACACACTAATTCAATTACATTTTCAGATTATGCAGGAAGACTGATTTAAGCAACAGCCAGAGCCACGGTGCCATCACCCATGCATAGAAGCAGGAGAGCAGAGTTCAGAGAGCTGGGTCAACCTTCACTCTGGATTTCTTGACTTTTATGGGCTTCAGTTGGAATGTTTAACATTAAGTTTAATGTTTTATTAGTGTCAAGTTTTAGGAGTTGGTATTCAAAACGTTTCAAACAGAGATATGATGGGTCTCAAAGACCTTGAATCTGTTTACATTAGCAGGTAATGAAAAAAAATCGACTATTTTAGACAAATTATCAACCACTCAAAGAACTCAATGGGGTCATTTTTACCCAAATTATTAACCCTGTAAAAAGTAAAAATTTTTAGCTTGCAATTATTGATAAATGCGTGACTAATGTATGTAATTATGAACTTTTAAAAGTCCTTGTTGCAATGTATAACTAAATACATTCTTAAATTGATCATCTTCAGAGAAAGGGCAATAAAGAACCATAAATAGTTTTGCTAAGAGCACAAAGGAAATAAGCTAACCCTTGTAAGTGCCTCATAGAGTCAAGAAATTCTAGAGTGTCTTTCATATTATTTATATCTTATTTTTATTTATGCAAGGAGTCCCGTCAAAACCTTAAGTCCCTGGTTGAATGTGTGATTTTTCTAGAAGGAAATTCAAAGATGACCCAAGGATGTAATTTCCAGTAATAAAAACTTTCTATCACACCCTTTTCTTCTGTTTCAAAAGGTTTGGCCTTTGAAAAAAAATGAAATTTATGTAATACATTTTTAAAGGAGAAGAAAAGTGTGTCATTGAGAGTTAATTTCAGCTTTTTAAACATTAAATAAATAAATACATTTATAGTCTATATTGTCTTTAAAAATATTATTTCACAACATACTACCTTTTTGAAAGACCAAGGATCGATGTGCTGTAAAAATTTTAATCAGATTGCTATCATTAATGAGTCTTAACACTTTTTCTCAGTGTTACTTCCCTTTACCTCTTTCCCAATTTGT